TGAGACACTAAATACAGTTCCTGGTACACAGTAAGCACTAAAAAGTTAGCAGTCAGCAGCAACACCCACCAGGCTTACATATGCTTATTTGTAATATAAAGAACTTGAGTATTAAGAGAAGGAAAACAGTAGGACAAGCTTTTTATAGTTAACAAAAAGGATGAAGGACAAGGTTGTTTAATGGTTATGAGAGATGAACTTGATGGGAGAAAGGAAAGGAAAGGAAAGGAAAGGAAAGGAAAGGAAAGGAAAGGAAAGGAAAGGAAAGGAAAGGAAAGGAAAGGAAAGGAAAAGGAAAGCGAATGGAAGAGGCAGAGAGAAGATCAAACAAATGGCAAATAGAAGACTCCACAGCAAAGAGCAGGATTCCGTGAGCCTCTGTGTAAAAGGGCCAAGGACGTTGGTCTTCCTGGCGGGTGGGACCTTGGAAACAGCTAGGAATCCCCTGCTTCTGCCAGCGTCTAGTGGAAGAGCTGGTTGAGGAGGTGAGCACTTAGCCAGTGGCATGGCAGGAAGAGAGGGCTGTCTTCCGTATGTTCCTCCCCGAAAGAGGAAATTCTCACAGTTCTCTCCCTAAATCATTCTCAGCCCAAATCACTCTCATCCTAAAGCAAAACAAATCCTCTCGCCTTCTCCATTCTCATCCTTCAAACCTTAGTTCAAATGTAACCTCCTCTATGAAAGCTTCCCCAGTTCACTCAGGTAGAGTTTGATGCTTCCAGAACAACATGTATTTCTTTCTATCCTGCAAACCATACTACAATTGCGCCCATCCCCTTCCCATCCGACCTACGAGCTCCTTAAGAGCAAAGCCTGTAACCTATCCGAGTCTCTATCTCTAGCATTCAGCACAAGGCAAGACGTGCGGAGGATGAGAGGACCCTGGGTACTCTGCACGCTCCAGCCAGAAACATCAGATCAGGTTCATGGCTCCTAACCATTTGGGGGACATGGCCCCCAGCTTTGAAAACCTGAGGAAAGTCACAAACCCTCAGCCTAGAAAAATATATACACACGCACTCAACACACACACACACACACACACACACACACACAGCATTAAGCTAGAAGTCAAATGATCTGGATTCAGGTTTCTGTTCCCTGGTTCTGTCAAAAACTCCAAGCACTCTAATTATACAATTAACAGCTATATACGATGTCAGAGGGGTAGCAGATTGGGGGGGGGGGGTTGTCACTTTTGTAAATGTCTAACTATTATATTGTTTTGTACACCTGAAACTAAAAAAACAAACAAGAGAAAAACTCCAAGTGCTCAAACAAGTCACTTAATTTCCCAATTGACAAAGTGAAGAAACTATTATTTGCCCCTCAATTATCCTTCATTAGCTGTCTGTAATAATAAAAATACATATATACTAAAAATCTGGATGAATTCTGAGATTTAAATTGTTACATAGGAGCAAATTATTTTTTATTATTATCTCACAGCTTGATACTTTTACAGCTATCTGTTTTGCCAAAAATCATGCTGTGAAATAAATTGACTGTTTACTACAACAGCTAAAAGAACTGTTGTTTTTCTAAAACCGCAAAGGCCCTGTCGTTTGCATACCCACGTGGGGTGAGCACACAAGTATAAAGGAGTAAAGATGAATAATCCAATTAATTCACACTTGCTCATACCATTGACTACAGGTTCCTTGCACATAATAACAATGTGCTTTTGTCCTAGCAAACCTGCCATACAATCGGCCAGTGTGCTCTGAGATGTGTATCAGCTGCACGCCAGGGATTCCTGATGACAATGTGAATATGCTCTTCTCATCATTTGACCCCATCACCAGCTGCTGCCAGAGGTGGGCTACAGTCAACAGAGCACCCCTCTTCAGAACAGGAAGCTGTGAAACCCTGACTCTAGTGAATTCTAAGAGACATACCTAACCAGGCTGCCTTTCATGTAAAAAGCGATTGTCAGGCAGCCGCTGGGAAGACTGTCCGGAGCCCCGCACAAACAGTGAAATAAGTCAGGAACACTGGGCGGCCCTCCACACTTCACGGGGCTCAGGCGCACACCAGGCCTTGCTTCTGTCACTGCCCCCCCTCTTCCAGCAACTGGAAGGACGGTCCTCCTTGCCAGTCTAGGCCTTTCTCTGAATCCATGCCAATATTTTGCAGACAGTAACTGGGAAATCGAAAAATAACAAGCTGTACGTGTATAGCCTGAATGTTTGACTGTGGGAATGCTACGAGAATTTCTGCAAGTTTTTATCTGTTTAACTAGCTCCAGTGACCCAGGAATCCACAAAATTAGACCTACTGGAAAAAACTACAACTTTGCTATGTTGACTCTTAAAGCAGGTATAAGTTTTCATCTAGAAGCAAAGGCACCAAGGCAGAAACAAGACGCCCAAGTACTAACCTTGTCCTTCTAGAACTCAACAACAAACCCCTTCACCTCCCGGGTACCCACCCCCATCTTCTTAGGCTTTCTGCCCAAAGCAAGAGTGCTTCCGACAAAACCAGGAAGGAAGGATGTGCTTGCTGGTCTTAAATTCGAGTGGATGAAGAACAAAGGAAATAATGAATCAATTTATTCATTCATATTCTTGTTTATTTTAGCCATCCCCTGCCTCAGTCAAGGACAGTAAGGGTGCCAAGCAACCTGGCCTTGCTCTTTAAGCAAGCTTTGCAGAGCTCCAAATGTGCTCTACCATCTGCACTCCATTCCCACCCTTTCACGGTCAACACTTCATGCCTGTTCTGCTTAGCGGTAGACCCACCTGACTTGCTAACCGCTCTTCCATTTCTTTCAATCCTACCCACTATCACCCATTAGGTCAAAGAAAGCCACCATCTTTCTTGTCTTCCTTTGGCCCATCTTCACTATAATGTGTCTCTTTACTCCGTCAATGCCCTCTGGGAATAGTTCCTTTGGTTTGACCTGGCCCTAACACACTCCTCTTGTCTTCGTGGACCTGGTCAATACTGTGCTAGGTGATACTTTCAAGAAGAGGAAGTAAACTAAATCAATCTATGCGCCTAGGCTCTGGATCCCAACCTTAGCTGTGCTTTCAGGGAATCAAGGGGCGGAGACTCTACCCACACTTGGCAGGAACTGGAGGGGGGGAGGTCCTGTTCTGGATTAGGATAATTCATTCTCATAAAACGCTCTGCACCTAACTTCACAGCATTTATGAAAATTCTCCTTAAATCTGCGTAAGTGTGATTAGTATCTGTCTCTTCCTCCCTGCACTCCCCACCAGACTAAAAGCTCTGTGAGGATAAGAACTATGTCGTCTTGCCCATGACTAATTTGCCTGTGCCCTACAAATCACTGGCACATAGGTCTACCTCAATTACTCTAGCCCTGTCAGATAAGAAAGAATTTAACTTATGCCTCAACAAAGCTCTAGTATAAGGTCATGCTTCCCACATTTCTGGACAAGCTAATAAGAAAAACTAACATTTCTTGAGCTGCTACCAGTGATCAGGCACCACTCTAAGATTTTTACAGGTATTCTCATTCAATGCTCATGACAAACCAATGAAGTAGGTACTATGATTGTTCCCATTTTACAGATGAGGCATGTGAGGCAGAGAAGGGTCATATAATTTGCAAGGTTATGTGACAGGAAAGACAGATCACAGGGGAGAGAGCAAAAAGAACTCAAATCATTCAACGTCTGCTCACCAGATGCTTCTATGTCCCAAGCCTTATGCGGCCTTCAGGGTCCATAACTGCTTCACTTTATGATGCCTTACGATGCACTATGAAATGCAAAAAGGCCTGCAAAGTCTATAATTAGAGAAGGGACATTTAACTCACCTTCCATTGCTCCTCTGGAAGCAGCTTCACGACCACCAGATCCCCATTCAAGGCTCTATTACGAGCAACAACCCCATCAATAAAAATGTCTCGATCACCATCCTATGTGAAAGAAAGAAATGAAATGGTCAGCTTCCCAAGGCTTGGAACCAAAAATTAGCTCCTTGGTTTAAAAACTGTAGAATCTATAATCTGTCCACTGACTTAACAGGAACACTAGCACACTGCCTCAGGCAGACCTAGAGAGAGCTCAGTCCCTTTGGAACTAACAGAAATGCTGATGAACATACAACAGCAGATAAACAAAATGCTAAAAAAATCACGAAATAAGAGAAGAGCTACTATAAGCAGGCTTAAAACAAACAAACAAAAACACATAAAGCGAAAAACTGGGATTGCATGCTTTCATAACTGAAATGAGAAAGGAGTAAGTTATCCTTAGGTTATCCTTTTTTGTTTTAAATAAAATGAACCACGGTGATATCTTTTCTATATAAGCGGAAATTTTTTTTTTAAATAAAGGTAAGGGTAAGAAACAGAAGGTTTACTAGAAAACAGAACAACAACATATAATGCCCTGAGAGCCGGAGCAGCAACCAGCTCTAGAATGTGGGTTCTCTAAGAGGAAGCCAGCAAAATCAAACTCCCCGCTGGAAAGCGGCAGAGAAAGCAAACTGTGGTTGTTTTTATGGAGACCTAAGTAGAAGGCAAAGAAGAAAAGGAGAGGGACGTAAAATGAGATGCACAGAGCACTGTCACGGCCCACGTCTCTCAGTGACTCGGGCAGGGTGAATTCCCAACCATGAACACAGCAATCACAGGCTTACAAACAACCCACTTCACGCAGTGTAGCCACCGTGAACTCCCCAGGTATTGACTGCTAAACTTAAATTCATGCTAGAATCTTCCTACTAAGGCAAATTACTCTCCAAAAACACTTAAATGGAAAAGACAGCTAAGGAAAAGCATGCCTTCAATAGTAAGGTTCCATAACAAAGTTAAGTATTTTCAAAATGTTTCATCAACAAACATGCAAACATGTATTCTTTATCCTTTTATCCTTCCAAAAGTTTATACTATATGCTTCTTTTCAGAAGATGAGAGAAGTAAAATGTTACTTTTTCTTAAAGGAGGTAATAGCAAACAGGTTTGGAAATGCAGAGTTTCCTAACAGGCATTTGATATAGAATAGATTTAACACTCAACAGGCCGCAGGTGATTACTATGACATTTTAGTTAAAGTTAAAATTAGCATTCCAAATTCACCAACCTCTCCTCCCCACCGCCATGGGATTTTAGACACTCAGCAACTTTTATGGTTTTCAGTTACAAACCATTAGAGATCTTTCAGAGCAGTCTTTCTGTTCAGCTTCCAATCTAGCCATGGACTGGCAGCTGTGGCCTGTACGCGCTGCCAAACCGGACCCACCCGAGTCCCCGAGGAACTGCTACCGTGTTAGCCACAAACGCTGAACTATTACTGCACTTGACCTCAAGACAAGCTTTTCAGAGAAACAAAGAAGAGGCAAGCAGTAAATGGAGAGGAACAACTGAAGTGTGGCCCCACATCGTCAATCACTGCCTTCTGCAATTTATAAAGCAATGGGATCTCTCCGACTTCCTAAGAATAAAGAAAGCTGTCTGTATATAGGTCATCCTGCCCACTATCATGTGTCAAAACATGCAATGAGATGCCTCATCGTAAGCAGCGATACCACCCTTAGACAGCTCAGAGTGTTAGGGTGATAAGATGCTGGTATTGGTACGTTTCTATCCCAAGAAACTAAGAAAAGCAGGGCTGAGTGGAACCTCAGACAACACAAATTCATAGATATTGCATCACTACTCATCTCTTACTTGATTTATTCAGAAGCCTGTATCTATTGCCGAATCTCTTATTTTAAAAGTGTTAAACTTGGGAACGCCTCAATATTAAAAGTCTGAGTCATCCTCTTAACTACTTTTTAAAGCCAAAGGGTTCAGCCTTTCCTTTGAATGACAGAAGACTTGCTTCAGCCATCAGACAGAATAGAAAAATAGGATAATGGATAATAAATGACCCTGGAGGAAATAAACAGGGGTCTGGGGCTAACCTGACTAAATACAAGGGAGGCTAGAGGGGGGAGGACAACCCAAGTGCGCCGTACGATCACAGCATCTCCCATCAATGGAATAGCTCCTTTTGGACCAGAAATAAATTCTCCAGATGTACAAAGAGTGCCTCCCATGACAAGATGCACCAAAACGTTATAGAACGTCCTGCACCATAGACTGGAACTATGCTTTTTGTAAAAAGTCAGCTTTTACACTGGATCCATTTCTCCTCTTTATTTTATCCCCGAATAGGATAAAAAGGCATCTCAAAAAAAATCACAGTATCTTGATTTGCTTAAAAGTCACATAGTTTTATTCTAAGTCTACAGCTTACTTTTACTGAGAACCCCAGGAGACTGGCCGGTAGACATACCGTAAGAGCCTTATCCCATGTATTTTGAGTTTGTTGTAGGAACATGAAAATCAACTTTCTATCAGTAGAAATTATAATGAATCTAAGTCAAGTTCCCCCAAAAGAAAGTACTTTTTTATACCTGATGATCAATTCACTATTCTTAGCCTAGACTTAATTAAGTAAACATTTTAACATAGTAAATGACATTGTATAAGTTCACAACCTTTTTTAGAGTCAGAAAGGGATAAACCTACATAATTTCATCAAATCTATTTTTGTCTCTCCAAAAACTAGAACTGTAAAGTTGTAAGGAACATCAGACAACATTTAACGCACCCCCTCATTTTACAAACAAGGGAACGTTTCTCTTTCTTAGTGGCAGAGCAGAGGCTACATCATTCTTGATGCCAACTCTGGTCCTTCTTCTCCTGCCGAAGCAGAGGATGGCGACAGATAGGCCCCGGTCCTGCCGATGCAGGGGATGGCGACAGACAAGCCCCGGTCCTGCCGAAGCAAGAGATGGCGACAGACAGGCCCCGCTCCTGCCGAAGCAAGGGATGGCAACACACAGGTCCCGGTCCTGCCCCCCCACCTCCTAGCCTACCTTTGAGCATTTCGGCAGCTCATGTACATTCACACTTGGCATGGACTTGGCATGGAGCTACGTCTACTCAGAAATCCAGACCAGTGATGGGATTTATCTGCATGTAATTTATTGCCTCTACTATCTCCTTCTTCAATTGCTTCTAAACCCTGAAACTCACTAAAAAACCCACAAAACTAGAATGCAGGATTGTTCCAGTGTCCTAAACCAGAGTATCTACAGTCACTTAAAATGGGCTTTGACAGAACTTTTACACTGTTCTGAATTACTTAGAGGTGAATCACTTAGCATTGTTTCTCCCTCTGTGACAATATTACTACTCCACCAGTGGCCAGATAGGAATATAAAAGTGGTATAGAAATAAGCCAACCCTAATATCACAACAGTCTAAAAAATTCTAAATAAGACATGCCAGGAATACAATTTCAAGTAGAACAATTTGAGCTTTTGAAACATCACTAACTTTTACTACTGAACTACCTTAACAAGCCAGATTAAACAGTGGCAACACATCACTTGCAAATTTAAATCACATGGAACCTAAGCATGTGCCACACTTTAGAGGACTTCTGCTTCAGCCACACCTCTCCCCTGCAGGTAAGGAGTTCTCAAGGCCAAATGCATGACTGTCCCCATTTATACTCAGCCCCAAGCCCACTTCCAGGGCATATACAGGAACTTTCCCCAGATCTGCTTCCCAAAGGCAGACCACATCATAGGCGGCACCCCCTGGACTTTGACAGGTGGCTAAGGGGTGGGTATTTCTACGGACAGAGCCTGGACAGTGGGATAAGATGCCCACATAGGTGCATACAAGGGCTCTCGCTGAATGGGGGTGGGCAGCAAACAGGGGGCAGGGAGCCAGGACTGGAAAGGGAAGCGGGGCAGGCCAGGGGGACCCTCCATGCAGCCACTTGTCAGCACAGAGCTCCAAGGAATCTGAGAATTCTACATTTGAACTCAGGTCCATGAAGGTATATTTGGCAAGGAATATATTTTATTTGTCCTGAGTGCATTTTACTAACAGTTTGTTAGTGTGATTTATAACTTTTCAATATTTAATATGAGGTATGAATGTGGACCTCCGTTTGTACTTTTGTCCTAGGCCCATACTTGTCAGGAGCCAGCCTAGTAGGGATCTAACTTAGGGAAATACAACGAATTGTACTCAGGGAAGAGAAAGAGCGCAGTAACATGTTCAAAATGCGGTGTGAGTTCTCCTTATCATGCCCTTCAGTGAGAGCAAACCTCAGTGTGCACGGAAGACAGGAGATGCGAACTCGGCTCGGTTCCCAGGTGCCTCTCAGGATGGGCTCCTTATTGCGCTGGGTGGGATGCTCATGCTTAAAAATCCACGTTTTTCACTCAGTGGGGCCCTTAACATTTTGTAAGCGGGCATTTTCCCGCCAAATCGCGTCATAACAAAGAGGTCTCTATACCTGAGTTAACTCGTCTAAAAAGCGCTATGACGAGTTTACTCGTTTCCCGCAAACAATGTGTTAATATAACCGAGCTGCTGCAACTGGTATGCCAGCGAAGAGTCATTCTTTTTAAAGTGGAGAAAACGCTGATTATGCTGGACTTACTGAGAGACAGTTTATCTGTCTCCAGCATGGCATACCCCTAAGAGATTTCCATGGGTAATTCTTGTGATTACTGAGTGTGACTTTCACCTTATGAGCAAACTCTGGAATCTAACACCCATGGAAAATGTCCTTCCACTGTATGACGGAACTGCTCCTACAGCTAAGTTACTACCTCAAAGCTGACCCTCAGTTCTACAATCCAAGTACCAAGGTGAGCATACATACCACATTCTGTCACAAGAGCAGAACAGGACTCCGAGAGAACAATGAAACGTGTCAGTAGTACGTTTTATCTAATCCAATGGGTAAGACCTAAACTTGAGATACAAATGTAAATCTCCGGTTTCTGGGGGGCAAGGGGAAAAAAGGACTAACCCGACCTTGTTGAGAACAGGTCTTAAGGTCACTATAACAACAATAACAGCAATAATACCTATGAAGTACGTGACTGAACTTGTATACTCACTAAACCTGTCACTTAACATAATGAAATAGGTTAACTGAAATGTATGTATTCCATTTCCTCATCTACAAGCAGAAGTTTATTCCTATGGTCTCTGCTGCTTTGAAAAATCTATAATGCTACGGCTATCCTATTTATGGCGTCCTGGAAAAGTTAGGTCAGGAATTTAAGAACGCTGCTCTTCCAGCTTTGCACAATTAAGCCTTATTCAGAGACCTGCTGCCAACTGTATGTCAGAGTGAACTTCCCTTAACAGGACAGAGCCTGTTAAAATGAGTCATGAACATTAAGGAAGGGTATAAAGAGCCAATGATAAAGGGCCTCGTACCGAGTCCCATCACCTGCATAAGAGTGAAGTGAGACACTCTGAACCCTCCTCCCCCCAAAAAAAGCATTACGCATTATTTTTGGACAAATTTGCAGATTAGCTCATGCAGTAGATCGAAAGTAGATAGCATATTTGTTTAGGAAAGATTAACTTAAATCAGTGGAAAACCCATAAATCCTTTTAAGCTATAAACCAAGGGCGTCCAATTACACGAACGGGTGGGTGTCTGCGTGGGTTCGGCTGCTCTCTGCCACCTAGTAACAAATGCCACCCCTTTCATTTGGAGTGTGATTTTAAGACTGGCAGAAAGGCTTGTTAACCAAAGGCAAATTTTTGTTTATTTAAATGTGAAACAAATCCGTGCCCATCCTCAATTCTGTTTTACTGCTCTGCTTCTTGGTTGGAATATATGATTTCGGTTTCAGAGCACATCTAAAAAATTAAATGTGACATTAAGTTTATTATAAAGTTATTGAACTTACCGGGGAAGGAATGAAGGCTTCATGAAACTTCTTTGGATTAATTCTCAATACACCCTTTAAAATAAAAAAATAAAATCTATGAAAATTTAACTAGTTACACACACTTATGATTTTTCCATACTTATGTTATTCTCCAATAAAAAGTTTTTAAAGTCATGAAGCAGTTCGATTTAGGAGACATGTTAGATGTATGAGAACTACTCATGAAATGCATGAAATGTGACCTACACTGATACCTACAGGAACCGAAAGCCGTTCCTGGCACCCTGCTGTGTACAGGCCAGGCTCCGCGTGCATGGGCAAGTGGCAGCCATGGGGCCTCGTGTGCCGCTATGTGTCAGTCTTCAAATTTAAACCTCTACTTTCAGAACAAGGTGATTGAGGGATGACGCCTCACTACACAGTGGCCTTTCTAATTCTCCACGACCTCTCCACAATTGCTTGTTTCTGGGACAATTTTCAAAGTGATACAGGTGGATTTACAACCTGGATACTTAGCCTCGAGGGCTTGGATGCATATTTTTTACTCTGGCTCCTCTGCAGAGCTGAATGAGTCAATAATTCAAAATGGTCCAGAACCGCTCTTAACGTAAATGGGAATTCTGGCTCCAACAGCCAGGCCACCCAGTCTGCCTCAGCTTCATGTTATTCCAGCACCAGATCAGGGTCTGCTTCTATTTATGCACAGGGTGCAGGAGGGGCCGTCTTCAATAACAGGTCAGTATTCCAGACTCGTGCAGGAAGCTGTAACCCTCTCCACTCCCCGCTGCATTTGAAGGCCACTGGCACACGTGGATGGAGGCAGTTATTTTCCTAAGAGCCAGACTCAAAGAGTGTCTCAAGGAAGTGTTTTCAATAACATGTCCCGCTAAAATGTTGAAAGACTCAAGGATACATAATTAACAAAATAAGTGAGGGCAGAAAATAATTCTTTCTTGCACTGGTACACTGTGTGTAAATTACAAATTTCCATGCAACAGTTTATACCACCGTTATCATCCCAAGTAGATTACCGCAAATGATCGTTTAGTCCTTAATTCGATAATTATTTACTGAATTCTATCTTCAAGACCCTGAGACAAAGAGTGGGGGAGACAGAGTGATGACCAACCAGGCTCAGTCTTTGTCATAAAGGGAAATGTGAATGCCGTGAGGGTACAGCTCACTTTCAGCTGGTGGCACTAGGAAAGGCTCCAGAGACAGCGTCTGACCTGGTCCTTGATGGAGGAGCCAACTTTGCAGCTAAATCAGAAGGGAAATACAGGCAGAGGACACTGGGTAAGCAACAGTGATTAAGGGGGCAAATACTCTTCTCCGTGCAGGCTGGAACCCTGCTTAGGGTAAGAGAGGGGCCGGAAGAAAAGGCTGGCGAAGCTCCCTGTGGCCAGGCCCTCTTTATGAAACTGTCACCGCAGTGTCACTTGTAGGACAGCTGTTTCTTGTCATGGGAGAGAGAAAAAAGGCTCACTGCATTTATCCTAAATATTCATCAACTCACTCAACAAACATTCCCTGATGACCACATGGACCAGCGCTATGCTATGTGATGCGGACACACTAGAGAATAATAATAGTCTCCTTCATAGAGCTCCCGGTCTAATCAGGGGAAGACGCTCCAAATCAATAAAAGTCAATTCATTGAAGTGAAATATTTTTAAAAAATCATTTTCTGATTCCAGGTGTTTTTTCTGACTTAAGTTTTTACATTTTTCAGTTGCTAGTCTTCTATGGTTCCTTGTCGCTCAGCGAATGGTTAGTACATGAAGAAGCATAGAGATGAGAAAGCCTTCTGCTTTAAAGTGCCTTTAATTACAGAGCACTTAGGCCAAGGATGGGCTCAGGGGAAAGAGACAGGTTGCTCAGGGCTTTATCTAAGTTCCATTTAAAAGACTAGATATTAATTAAAAGGACCTCAAAGACTCTATTCTTAATTTTCTATCCCAAACTTCCTGATGCATAAAAGCAAACGGGGAAGGACAGAAGTCTTGTTCAAGAAAAACATTTTGCAACGTGACTGGAGCATACTCTTAGGAACAGGACCTCAGGAACAAGACCCCTTTGAGAGCACAGACGGCACTCAGGAAGAAACAAGACTTCCTTAGCAGACCAGTCATCCCCGCAGCCTGATGGAAGAAGCTGTCAGCAAAACATGTCACGAAACGGTCTTTTAACGAAAAGACTTCCAGCAGGTGTCTGTGTCACTCACCTAAGGAAGTCCAGGACTTCCACTGCCATCATTCTATGACCAATACCTAACCTGCCCCCCAATCCCTCATCTCTCATCTTTCTCCTCAACCCTTCCCGAAGCCTGGAACTTGATTAGAAAGGCTCCTGCATGTGCCATCTTATCTCAATGCTTCTTGCACCTCCTATCTTAACCAAAACCCAGCTGTCTCTGATAGGATCACTTCCCGAGTAATGCTCTCAAAGCATTGGTCTCAAAGGTGACCTATTTTTCTCTCTCCTAGTCCGTGTTTCTCAGCGACCAGAGGAAGAATGTTTCTCCCTGCTGATAACCCACTGTGGCTTTAACATTTTTTTCCCTCCATTCTTTTTCAACTCCCTCCCACCCCCCCAAGTCCTTTGAAGTTCACACCATCATCTCCTGCTATACCTCCTGGGTGCGGCCATCCTCAAACCTTCTGATCTATCCCTGATACTGATACTGACTCGTAGCCCACTGCATTCCTCTCTAACCCCATTCCTATAAACACTTAATGGGGCTTCACATCCATGTGGATGACCAGGCAATCCTAGCTAGTCATTCTAGCCACCTTTCCCTCCACCCACCTCTAGCCACTCCCTCCCATGTTCACAGCCTGTCTCTTGTCACCATTGCTAATTACACCACCTCCAAACACAAAAAATCAAGTATCACACTTTCTGATCACAATCTGCTGGCCTTCCAGCTCACTTACGGTAGAATCCCACTTGGACAATTCTTTGTCCTCACTAAGACCTCCAATCCATGCACCTGACCACACTTTTACCATTCACCGTCCTCCCCCTGTGCTTATCCCCTTCCTTGGCTACCTAGTTGCCATGGCATGTCATTACCTCCCGCGCTTGCAAACCCTGGGCTTTGGACCAACTCTTGCTCTTATGTACAACTAGCAAAACCTCACTCTCAGGAGAACCCAATTGTATGCCTTCTCCATGCCTACACCCAAGGAGCTGAGTGTTATTGTAGAAAAATACCACAGCACTGGCTAATTGGCCTAACTTGGCAATCACAAACATGTTTTACTTGGCTTATAGGATGTTTGGGAATGCTGAAAACTGAGGAATTTCACACATAAATATGTATTTCCAGATTTTCTTGAAACATCAGTTAGCCCCACATGGCAGCAACCACCCGAGCTGAATAACAGATGCATCTCTTACAGCAAATAACCCTTACACCAGTATACTAACTGTCACACACTGTTTTAAAAGTTCTGTATCTTTTCCACTAATTTAACCCTCAAAACAACTCCATGAGGTAGGCACTATTATCCTCTTTTTCACAAATGAGAAAACTGCAGCCCTGAGCAGCGCCCATTTTCACACCATATTCAAGCCCAAGCTCTCCAGCTCCAGAGCCCGCGCTCTGAACACTGCAGACGGCCTGTGTGTCTGCCACAGACACCTTCTGTGGCAGGGCCTCTTCACTCATTTATGCTGTCTGCTCCCTTCCCCCAGAGCCCACACCACACTCCAACCCTCAGTCTTCCGGGTCTGGGTTAACAGCAACACCGTCCAGCTAGCTGCTCGACTCCACACTTAGGGTCCTCCTCTATTCTTCCCTCTGCCCCACATTCCACACTTAATCCGTCAGCATTTCACGACAGTACCAGTTCCACCCCATTGTTCACACCTCCATATTTTCTTGCCTGTTCACTCTGACGGCCCCCAACATGGTCTCCCAGCTTCCGCTCTAGTCTATTTGTCTCCCAATTGCCAGAGAGATGTATTTAAAGCATAAAATAGGTCATGTCTTCCCCCTGCTTAACACCCTTCAGCGACTCCCCACCATTCTTTCAATAAAATCCTACTCTCCAACACAGCCCAGAGACCTTACATGCTGGGCAGTCGCCTGACTCTCCAAATCGTCCTTCCCTTTGCTCACCATGTCCAACAGGCTCCTCTCTTAGTCCTCAAAAGCACCAAGCCTTTTTCTGCTTGCCTTTCTTCCACGAGCTCATCTCTCTGCCTATAACGTTCTCTTCCTAATTCTAACTGCTGGTTCATTCTCACCCTCCAGATCTCAACTCAGAGGTCACCTCCTTGCGAGTGATGACAGCACTCCTCATAAGCTGTGGTTTCCTCTTTATCTCTTTAGTTGTCTTTGCCTGTCTCCCCGAGTGAAGTGCCTCTCTGTTATACACTTGGCATTTAGTGGGCAGTCAAGAAACACTTGTTGAGCTAATCATTTAATAATGTCTACAGAGTTGAGGCTCTCCCACCACCCCCAGTATTACTGTTATGTCACCTGTTCCTTCTAAATGACTGGGCATCCCAATGTAATGTCACCTCTCTTCTCTTAAATTCATACCCAAATCTTCCCCACCTGATTTCACTCTTAACAAATGGTGATGGTCCCAGAAACAGGGCACCCTGTCCTATCCTCCTGAACCAGGATTTCTTTTGAGGTCCAATAACAACTACACTAATATTCTATTTCTGGGGGAACTCTGACATCATGCCTCAGGCAGCTCTGGGGGCTCAGCCTGAACCACCTTTAGACAAAGCATCATCTGGGACTGTGAAACCCACCACTTCTACCATCTTCGAACCATGTCACTTTGGTCACCAGCCCAAACCTGAGCGCTTTCCCAGACTGCCTATTCCATGCTCCCATTTCTCCCATCATCTCCTACAACAACCTCCCAACATTGGATCTATAGAGACAGAAAGCACGTATGTTCTTTGATGTAAGAGCTTATTTATAAAAAATAAAATAAAATTTCAAACTACATGCACATGATCAAGTTCAAACTGCTGATCAGTTCAAACACCGGGAAGAGATTTCTTTGGTCCCTGGGAACTCCTCTTCCCCACATAGGGCAAAACACCCCTGAAATGTCAAATCACTGGTCAAAGTACTGAAAAGAAATTAAAATATAATTCTAGTCCTATTTTAAAATATCTCTTTAACATTTCTCAACAAAGGTTTCTTCTCTGGATGAGGAGAAGAAAAAGGATGTCACAATATACTTAAGTTGAATACAAAAGTTAACAAATGCTTATATCTAGTAAGTTTAATTTTCTCCGACAGCATGCAAATATCTTTTATTGCCTAGCTTTTTACCTTCCCCATCAAGGCCTGCACACATAAAGTTTATATCAGACAGCAGATGGACTCTGTTTCTCTGTCTAAGAAAACCTTATTTACAGTGTTGTATATTTCACACAGTGACCTCATATCTGGAACCCATTCCTTTCCCCATCTGCAAAGAACAACTGTTCTCATCTGTGGCGGGGGGGCTCTGGCTGCAGAGTCTCATGATGTCACAGGCCAGGAGGAATCACTTAAAAACTGGGAATAAGGGTTGTTATATTGATCAGCTTTTTGTCTTGTTTTATTTTCATATCAGCAGAGTTGCTTCGAAAGCAAAAATTGATAGCAGGGAGCAGAAATTAACACTACAGCAGACTATTTCTTTCACTCTCTCCTGGAAACGATACAACAAAAACTATAAGTAATTTTTCTTTCAGGTTAGAACAACTGAGGTTCCCCTCACTCTTCTTCAAAGACAATACCTTGATCCTTTATTCAGTCAGTAAATAAATATTTATTCAATATAAACTTATTAAGCATCAAATGCCAGTCACTGAGCTGATCTGTAGCAAGAGGACATGTCCCTGCCCACAAGGAAGTCAACAGTCTACTCGAGGAAACATAAACGTCAGGAACTGGTAATAGGTTTAGAATATCAAGCATGATTACACCAAGATAGTGAGCGAAGGCATTCCAAGCACCAGGAGCAGCAGACACAGCGTTAGAGAGGAATCAAAGAGCAGGGTTTTTACAGGACAAGTCTGAAGATCAGGGTGAATGGAGCACAGCATACCTGGAGCAGAATGCAGGAGGTAAGGATGGAAAAGCACAGTGGGTCTCATACGTGAGACAAGATGAGAGCCAAGAAGCTGGAGATACAATGGAGTTCAGTGTATGGGCCGAATGATAAACCGCAAATGAATGGGTTAATGAAAGGACAAATGGCCACTCTCCCAAGAGAGGCCCTGTCAAAGAAATTCAAGGGAAGCTTCAAGAAAAAGTCAATGGTACTTCCAAAGTCAGAAAGATCAACTCATTTGTTAAAAACAGTTTTCCATTCAAGAGTCTACATTAATCCCATGTACACTTGACCACAAGTCAATACAAAAAGCTGATAAAAAGGAAGAGGAGATGATAGTATCTATTAATTGGCTGGATCTTCAGGCAAAAACACAAATACAGAAGCTGGGGTCTCAGAATGAGAGAAAACAAAACACAGTCCACGTTTTTGAGTGAGCCAGGTAACACACGGAATGTTTCTCTACTAACCCAAGAATTATGAAATGGACTCAATTCGCAGACTATGGGGCCCTGCTTCCCTCTCCATCTCATCACCTACTACCTGCCTTACATTTTATGCCTAGGGAAACCTAAGCTGCCTTACTCCACATTGTTTCACAAGTTCATGTTTTCATTAGTGCCACTACCTCTCCATACCTTCTTCCCATACACATACCATGCATTTTATAGGTCCAAACTAGTCATCCTTCAATGTCCACCACAAGTGTCACCTCCCCCAGTTTCTCCCAACCACTCTCCCATCCCTCCTGGTCACACTTTTATCTGGGCACGTACCATCTGTCCCCAAATCATCTGTCCACATGACTGCCTGCCCCCCACCCTTCATCTCAAGAGCACCCACACATGAGCTCCTAACTCTAAACTGTTCCTGGCTCACAGTGGGTGCTCAATAAACGTTTGCTGAGCCAAACCACCGCACTAGCCTGTAAAAGTATTTTGTAAACTACAAAGCACTCAACAAACACTGTGCGCTGGTTTACTGTTTCCTTTTCACCCTTGTTCTCAGTCCTTCAGCTTCCACGTGCTCAGGGCAGACTGAACTATCCATGTTTCTTACAGCCAAACCCTGTTTCCCACCTCCGGGTTAGCGGTTCACACTGGTCCCTCTGTTTATAAAGCTCTTTCTCTTCTCTTTACTTATTCAGACTGCACCATTCCATGGCCTGGGTCAAACATATCCCTTCCAACAAAACATTCCTAGACAACCCAAACTGGAAGTAACGGCCCCCTCCTCTCACATCTCAGAGCCCTAGATCTGCCTCCGTCTTGTGGCGCTTATTACCTCTAATTAACTATACTGCAGGTCTAAGAAGCGGGGAGTCCTGTGCCTGCTATGTCATCAATTCTCTCAAGGCACACAGCACAGAAAACTAGTTTGAGTAAATAGATTACTTCTGATTGCACATATTCAAGGAATAGCCTTCTAGTATAAGTTAAGCACCTGGATAAGCGTTCCTCTCTTCAAGCCTTCTGAAACATCCTCCTTGGACATGTAGGTTTCAAATATGCTCTTTTTCTTCCCTCGTGTGGACTTGTTCTTTGACTTTTTGTCACCTGGCGAAACACCAACTCCATGTGGGCCAACCACAGAGGACACACCTAGAAACATGAGGCAGCAATCAACTCTTTCCTCAATCAAACATCTGTATTTTTAAAACTGGAGATGTTTTACCTTTTTTTTTTTTTAATTTAGAAAGACCAACAAGAGAATTAACCTCACTGATACTGATTTCAAATAGTCACAAAAAAGGAAAGAATGGGTAAGGAAGCATGAATAAAATATACACAGATGAGACTTGAGTTTTAAATCAGCATCACAATATGCATAGAACATAAATCTGAATAATGGGTTCACTATGCTTTGCAATTTATAGACACAAACTTTTTAGAAATAGGAATTAGGAAAAGACTGCCACTTTTCTAGAGGAAATCAAATAGCTGTGCTCAATATAACAATCAATTAACAAGAAACCACACTTAATTCTAGAATGAGTACCACGGGAGAATATAACACGGGAGAACAAACCAAAGAATTACAGTCCCCCTGAGTCCTAAGACCCGCCCTGTGGCTCCATTCCACTTGGATTTCACGTCTCCAGGGGCTAGATAGACTCCATTTTCCTTTTGCTACCTCTGGGGGTCGCCAGGTTCGGCCTGTAGTCAGGATGGCTCATTACTGCTTCCAAAGTCGCCTCTTCTCTCCAGATCCAGGGCAGCCTCCCCCGCTCAACTCAGAGTTGTCCTGCCTTGAGCAGCTCCGCTGTCACAAGCTGAAACCAAAGAGAGATGGGTGACTGAAGAGCAATTACACCAGAGCCTCCCCTGGGCTCTTGGAAATGGAGTGCTTGGATGGCAGAGGCCATGAGGTCCCCTTCCTGGGTCCTGGCGTCACCTTTACCTGGGCACTCAGTCAAGCACACCATCTGCCCTGAGTTTCTTTTCCAGGCCCTCACCTTCACCACGCTAATTGTCTAGAATGGATGAGATTGCCGAGAAAGGGTAAGCTGCTACAGAAGAGGGCCTGGGACAAAATCCGGGGTAAGGCAGCTTTTAGAAAACGCAAAGACATAGAAAATATAACAAAGAAGCTAATAAAGATACCCTTCACAGGCATCACTAGCCTGCTTATGGGCCACTTCCACTAAAAGCTTCCACGAACAGGGCAATGAGGTGGGAATTAAGGAGTTCTGCAGTTCTTTTCAGCTTTTGAAATACACAAAAGCAGGAGAGAATACGGTTTCGAAAAAATGGTATAAGGACCTAGAGTCTGAAGGCTATAACGAAAAAAGTACTAAACTGGGCTCAAGACATGTGGCATTTACTAAGTTTAACCTTGGACAACATGATGTTCCTGTACAAAACCAAGGAATAAATTCCTTAGAACTCATCAATTAAACCTAATTCATTGCCACAGCCTGTGGTCCAAAGCTATGCAGGGAACCCCAGATGGCTCTCTGGCTTTCAAAAAACGGAAATGCTGTAGTTAGACATCTATTTACCTGCTCCTACCTGCCATCACATCAAACCAGTCATGTGACCAGGAGCTCGGGCAGCTGCTGCTAAGGAATACCAGGCAGCTGCCTGGGTCAGCGGGCTGGAATATGGGCCCTGCAGCTGCCTGGCCTTCCACCTGGATGCTGAGCATGTCATCACAACTTGTGCTTTCTACTCTCTGCTGGCCACCGGCCCAGGAGTCAAGCCGATACGTGCAAATTTCCAAAATCCTCGCGGGCAGCCTTTATGCTTTCCCATAAAATGGATCAAGATGTCAATCGGAACACTGCTTCCATTTCCTCTAAATTTCCCACACACATCCTTTACCAAAATGATGTCATTTTTCTTTAAATTGAAATTAATACTAACTCAGGACAAGAGAAGCAACGAAGACAAAGGGTAACAGGCCATTTAGTGATATATGAACAGATTCAGAGATGAAGTCAAAAAGTTACGAGAAGAGAGAGAAACAGATGGTCTTAGATAAACAACAAGGTATTGGGAAAGGCACAAACAGGCGTCCAGACTGTCTGATGGTCTAATTCAGAAATGCTTCATCCACTCATCAATTCAACAAATACTTCTGCAAGGCACTGGACTAGGCGAAATGAGACATACAAAAGTTAATTAGATTTCTAAAATTCATACTGAACTAACAATACAAGGTGGGAAATGATACCACTAATTTTTATTATTTTTTTTAAGTATGGGTAAATGTACATATTATGGGAGAGAAAGGGTATCTATCTCCAGGTCAGGAAACCTAAGAGAGCTTCAGGAAAGATTTTATGGAAGAACTGAGAAGGTGAGAAAAGCATACTGCTGGCAAAAGGAAACTAACAAAAAAAAGTGACACAGAAAAACACAGGTAGGTTCTTGAAACATTAATTCCATTTGAATAGAGTCCAGCCTATATGAAGGGAGGCAGTGGCAAGGAGATTAAAACAAGTTGGAAGACCTAGAAAAGCAGACATTTTTCAAAGGCAGTGGGGGCTTTCTGAAGCATGAAGGAGCAGAAGAGAAAAGCAGATCAGAGTTGTTTCAGGAAAAACGAACCTGGCGCAGGACTCTGTCATCTGCAGGTGATGACAGGTGGCAGCCGCACCTTAGGGAAGACCTAGAAGGAACTAGGGAAAAGGAAGGCCTGAATTAGAGTGAAACAGAGACCCTTACAATGATGTTACACCGGAAAACTGGCACCACTTGGCAACCAGGCACATCTGGAGGACAGCAAGGAGGTGGCAATGGGGAGATTTCAAGGAGCCTGGGAGATGATGATCACATCACTAAGTTTGAGGAGACGATGAATTCTACTTGGGAAATTACCTACCTCTACACACGGACATACATACCACTACCTACACCTCTACACCAAACACTTGGAAACTGGAGCATAACTTAGGGAGATAAATTAGCCAGACATTTGCATAAAGATGGCAACCCAAAGTTGTCTAGAATGGATGAGATTGCCAAGAAAGGGTAAGCTGCTACAGAAGAGGGCCTGGGACAAAATCTGGGTTAGGGCAACTTTTAGAAAATGCAAAGAAGTAGAAAATATAACAAAGAAGCTAATAAAAATGTAGAAAAAGAACCAACAGTCAGGTGTTAAAAAAAACAAGGGAGAAAATAAGTTCCAAAGGCAGGCAGGTTTATGATCAGGGTTCGCACCCACCACTGCGTAAGAACTCCAGTAATGGCAGCCTTGGGTGGGGCAAGGGCTTGGGGGCAAGCTGCAGGCGTGAAGCGGGCAATCCATCACAAGAGCCAGGGCTGAAAAGGAGGAACTTCGTGCCAAATCCTGATGTAGGCAAGAGGTCAACATTAAGAGGAGTTACTGCCAGCTAGGTCAGATGGGGGTACAGAGACCTCGACTCACATGCCCCTGGGTCAGCTGCCCCTGGGACTTTCCTTCATGGCGAATACCAGAGTTGTGTTTCCGTTGGTGTGATTTATCCCCACCTTGTCTCTCTAGCTCAGAAAAACAAGGAATGCGTGGTTGGGTTCATCATTCTAACCCCGTAGGCTCCCACAGCACCTCGGATAGAACAGGTACTCACTAATCACTCCTTAAATGACTGAATGAGTTTGTTTTCATGAACAAGCAGTGAGAATACCAAGTGAAGCAGGGTCATTCAGGGAAACGACACTAAAAACAAGTCAGCAAAGAATGGGAAAAAACACAGGACCAAGAAACAAATTTGGCAAGAAAAAGGCAGACAGCTGGGCAGGAAGTCAAAGCTTGCCTTTGGGTATCAAAGTACTGGAAGAAGATGGAAAGGTTCCAAGTATATAAGATGCTAAGCAGAGGATGAACAAACAAGCAAGCTTCCCTTCTTAGTGACATAGCTGTGCAGGCCTATTAACCCTGGAGAAACCCTGGTCACTCCTCCCCTGACACATTGAAAGGAAAAGTCAATTTCTAACCCGCACCAGCTTCCAGAATGAGGGCCACTGGTATGCTGCCCGACTGCCTACTGGCTACTGGAGAGGGTGTTTACCATGGAAATAGTGTACACTCTAAAGAGTTGGGCTGGGGTTAGGAGGAACAGGCAGTGAGTGTCACATGGTCCAAAAAGCAGGAATGAGAAGGAAAGGGGGAAAGGCACTAGACTTGAGAAAGAGTAAACCTGATGAAAGCAAGCATCCGGGTGAACGAAGTGGTGTCCTCAGATCCTTTATACTCCCTAAACCTAGCACAATGCATGGTGCAGAGCAGGTGATCACAAAATTTAAATAAATGAAGCCTATTTGGTACAGAAACCAGGTTACAACAATGTATACTATTGAGAAATAGGAGTAGCAGGGCCAGGACTAGGGTGAGGTAAGCAAGGCACTTAGGATGCCAAATTTGTAAGAGCAAAGCCATACAAGGTCAGGCCCGCACTTGCAGGCCTCTGATAGTGAGCGCCTCCGGAAGCGCTGGTACCCTCGGCGTCTCACTTGCCTTACCCTAGTCTTGGCCCTGATGAGTAGGAAAAGCAGATGAAATTTATGAACCTGGGTAGCGAAGGAAACTCAAGGAGATTCGTTCAAAAGAGAAGTTTAAAGAGTGAAAAGGTTAAGCCTATTCAGAAGCTAAGATGCAGCCAATGAAAAGCAAGAGATGGTAAAAACACGTGAAAGAGGTCACAGTTGATAAAATGAAGCAAAAGAAAAGAGGATAAGATTAAAATAAATCTCACCGAAATTAAAGAAATAAACAATTTACATTATGAATCAATGGGAAACACACAAATAATCAACAAGTAATGTTAAGACACTACGTAACTTAACATCATTTTTTTTCTTTTATTTTTTTATCTTAGCTGTAGAGGGCCCTCAAATGTAGGATCCGAACCAGGGCCCCGCTGCTCAGAGCTGGCATCCCAAGCCAGCCCTCAACCAACGCGCCACTCAGCCGGCCCAAACACCATTTTTTAAAATGGCCAATAGACCCCTAGTTCATAACATATTCTGAAATAAAATTCAGTTTGAAAAAAATTTAAATGTTTAAAACTGAGACAAAGAGTCTGAGAGAGAAAGGGCAAGGAGAAGGATGCCCAGAATGGTTGAATGAGGAGTTTGACAAATATCCCCAACGAAATAAATGGACAGAATTATCAAAACCAGCCATTTAAGGATCTGAATATTGTCCAAAGACATACAACAAATTGAGAAGTGTTTACTCAAGAAAACCTACTAAATCTCAGTAAGGTTAGTGGAAATGTGTGGCGGTTGAGGCTGGGGTTCCCACCGTCCCACACCCACTCTGGATCCTTGGTGTGGGGGGTCCTTATAACAGGGCAGGGCAAACTGAAGGCTGGCAGCTCTACTGCCAGCGGGAGTTACATTATCTGTAGCAGAGCAAGGAAAATTCCGTGCCCAGGGGCATTTTCAAAAACAATAGTGATTCAGGGGGAAAAAATCAGGGAAGGCCAACATCACAGCTAGCCCGAGTTTGTCATGCTAGTTAGGGCAAGCACAAGAGATCAGCGGACCAGAAAAGCATTTGAGGTCCTGCTTCCCAGCATCTGTCATCAGTTTTGTTCAAATGAACTCTTATAAAAATTCAAAAAAAAAGGACAAGAGATTGGCCGACCAACCAGAAATTTGACAGGGAGACTCAGGGAATGACAACCCAAGTGGGCCTCGGTCAGCATGTCCTTCCACCCGCTGTGTGCACACACAGGACTAGACTGAACACGCAGGAGAGGAATGAGAGGGCCTAAACACCTGCTCGCCCCTGGATGAGTGGAGCCTGGCAAATACAGAAAGCAAACGCCAGGGCACACTTGTA